CTCTCTCTCTCTCTCTCTCTCTTTCTCTTTCTCTCTCTCTTTCTCTCTCACAAGTGCTCAAAAGATGTCTTAAAATATGCAGATCCACATTCAACCATTTCTCTCCGCGAGCCTTTTATCTATTTCCCACTTTATTTTCTTTCTTCATCTACTCATCGTCCCCGTTTACACAGACTGATATATACGTTCGTCGTGAGTTTACGGGCGCGTCGCGGCACCCGTTGGACCGAGAAATTCGATACGGCAGTAATAATAGTTAATAGTCAATAATTCTTATAGTTCTTACATCATTTTTTCGTCGCGTCGACAACAACGAGCCGCGGAAGAGCGCGCGTCATCGGCTTACTTTAATTATTTACTCATTTATTTATATTTATATATATAATATGTATAGCTCCTTCCCCCCCTCTCTCCCTCATCAGCAACTTCTCTTGTTTAATCTTTTATAATATAGATATTATCGGTAATACAGAACTAGTATCAAATTCTAACAGAATCGAGCTACATAAAAATTGTTCCAACCGTTTCGGAGAGATATGCATTTCACTCTGCATCAACGCGCTCTTTTCTGGAGCTATTTTTTCAATTCATTTCAACGTCGTCATCTTTTCTCTCACTCTCTCGCTCTCTCTCTCTCTCTCTTTTTCTCTCTCTCTTTCTCTCTCTTAATATTTCTGTCGTTCGACGTATAATCTCGAGTATTCTCAGCGTCCCCCAACCAGATAACGAGACCATTAATCATTATCTCTTTCAACACCATTCGAACATCCGTTCGTTCCAATTCAACAAATCAATTGCGCTAAACTTGTAATCACACATACAATCGTTCAAATCCCCACTCGTCAAGAGCTCATATGTTAAAAAAGTTGATTACAAAATGGCATCACATATACGTACGTGTTAAAAATACAGATGCTCGACTTCACAGAAACTCAGAGATACATTTGTGTCTTCTTTCACCGTTAGTGAATACAATACTTGTTAAAAACAATGATTAAATGCAACTTTCGGATAGTAGAAGTGGAGTGAAACCAACGTTGGTTAGAAGAATAAAAAACTAGGTCTACTTTTTGGATGCTAGGAATCGAGAAGAGAATCAAGTCATCGTAATAGTCATCGTTGGTAAATCGTTGCAAATGTTATATCGGCATTTTCATTTTTTTTATAACGCCCGCCCTGTAGACGGGAACAGGCAGTTGGAACATCCCTATAAAGTTCAAAAACGAACATTAGTTTAACTAACACTGTGAATTCTCGTGCTTGACTGTTGTCAAAACTTTCAAGCTGTAAGAGCATCGTATCGCGGCAATATTCGGATAATAAAATATCGGAGTAAAAATATTCTTCGTAAAAAGTAGACGTACATTTAAAAAATAAAAGAAAACAAAAAAAAGTAACACACAGTCGCTTTATATCCAATCGGCTCTTCGGGTGGGCTTTCTCTATTCGTTTCACGCGATTCCCACCGTCGAGCCTCAATTAGATTATTATACTCTATTAAATTACAATAAATGGTACTATTATAGTAGTGTAAAATGTTGCTGGATATATATGTATCGCAGTAGAGTAGTAGTCGATGCGAGTAGATAAAGTAGCAATGTTTGTTGGCCACCGCAGAATCGTTGGGCGGTCTTTTGGAAAATTGCAATTTTCTGTGAATGGTTTTCGAATAAGTACGAATACACACAGTTGAGTTTGATAGAAAAAAGCATTCAAAAGACACGATCGAAAGAAGAGAGCAACTACTAGTTTTGTCAAGGCCAATCCAACGAATCCGGGCGCCCAACAATGTTATTTTATTCTTACGTGAAAATCAATTTATCATTTTGGTCAGTGTGTAAAAATAAAAATAATAGTTCTTTTATATTCTGCAAACTACTGTGGACCTCGTCGAAATTGATATTTGTTATTTGGTTGTCGTTTGTCTCCCTCTTGATCATTAGAGGACAATATGATTGTTACTTTTTTCTTCTTCTTTCTTTATCATTATTTTTTTTTGTAATTTTCTCTCTTTTCTCCTATGCACCACTTTCACTCTTACGATTCTCTCTCACTCTATCTCTCTTTCTTTCTCTCTCTCTCTATTTCTCTCTCTTTCTCTCTCTCTCTCTCTCTCTCTCTCTCTCTCTCTCTCTCTCTCTCTCTCTCTCTCTCTTAGCGCAAAACAGACGGAAGGGAGAACAGAGTCATGCAGATGATTCCCGGTGAAGCGAGTCTGTTTTATTGACTCGAAATCAACAACCGAGCTAGACATCTTCGATGAAACCAGGCAAATTCTTGAAGCTCGATTCTTCTGTTGTCTTTTTAATGTTTGAAGAAGTTCAAAGTTCAATCATCTGCGTACGATTCTGCGGAGATTGCTGCTGAATCAATTGCTGGATCGAATGTTCAGTTTCCTCGTGCAGCAACAAAGCTGTAGTTGACCGTTTAATAATGAAGTAATATTTATCTGGAAATTCTTGATCTTCATGGAATATCAGTTTTGCTTTTTCTTATATATATAGATATATATATATTTATATATATATATATATTTATATGTATATATATACGCGTAATAGAATTAGCTAGTGCCGCTAATTCAGCTCGATTCTTTTTCTTTCGAATCTAAAAAGAAATAGAAACAATAGTCATTCGAGAACGGAATACAAAATTCACTGACTATGCCACAACACCTTCAGGATACTATCATGTACAAGTAAGAAAAATGAATGATATTTTTATACCGTTTACATTGTAAAAAAATTCTATAACCACCGAGGGGAATCTTCCGGTTCATTCGCAATATAGTAATACAAATCGTTCGGTGACGTTACTTTTATCCTGAATGCGTTGATTCCGCTTATGTATAAAGAGTCACGGCGGAAACGTGGGTTTGTTTATTATTTACCGCTATCGGATTTGTCTTCGGATGTTCCGTTTGTCAATTCAGGCTCTTTCTTCTTCTCTCCATCTTCCGACTCCATGCTGGGCGCTTTCTTCTCGTCCTGATTGGCCGCCTTCTTGTCTTTCGCTTTTCCCTTGGCCGGCGTCGCCGGTTTCGGTTTCGGCTCGAGACTCGGGTCCAACACGATCTTGCCGATGTTCTTGCGGTCGTGCATCTTCTGCATTGCTTCCGGCACGTCCTCTAATGCCCACGTCGAATCTATTACAGGCTTGATCTTACCCTCGCTCCACATGGTGAACACTTGCTCCACCGATTGCCGCACGAACTCCTGGCTGCCGTGTTTGTACATCAGATGACGGAGATTCAGGCCCGACAACGTTTTGTTCTCCTCGAACAGCTTTATCGGCGACACTTTGTCCACTTGCCACCACTGGAAAACGAATCCCGTTTTAACAATATCGAAACGCTTTTCACGGTCAACCAAGAACGGCAAAAGCCGTTGGGAACGGCTTTACAAGATTTTACAAGATTCACATTTACGTTTAACAGCGAAATGAGTTTTTAAATCTTTGTCATTTGAATAATTGCGCAACAGCGCTTTGCCTGGACATACTGTATATGATCAATGCTAAGTATTAGCATAATATATTGTATATATATAATATTGTCATATTCTTGACGGAATATGACAAGCGTTAAAGTGATCTACAATTATTATACATCATTTTAGCGCTTGTCATATTCCGTCAGGTAAAATTCTTGTAAACTCTGCGAATAAGAGTTCTGAACGTTTAACAAGGATCAGCTGTCGATCACAAATGAATGTCCAGCTTGGAAGACTGCCATACGATAGAGGCGATTCTGACAAAGTTAACGGGGTAGGGGAGATGGCGTAGAATTAGATCACGTACTGATCGCGCCGCCGAGAAGAAGCTCTTCATTTCTCCGGTAACCACGTTGCTGGACCCATAAAGGATGTATTTCCCCATAGGCTTCAGCAATGCGTATCCCTTGTTGCACTCCTCGCCGCATAGGCAATCGAGGACTATGTCCACACCCTCCGGAGAGATCCTGAGAGACAAAATCAATGTTAACACTCTAGTAGCTCGTGGTCGATTAGGGCACACCGTCGATCGGATAGAATACGAATAGAATCTCGAGAATTCGTTACGTACTTTCTGACCTCGCTGCTGTAGTCCGTGCCGCGTTCCAGAAGATGGTCGATAGTGCCGGTCGTTTTCAGAGACTCGTGTTTCGATTTACTGCACACGCCGAAAATAGTCACGTCGTTCACTGTCTTGGCCAGCTGGACCACCGCTTGACCCTAAAACAAAAAATCGAGATGAACATCCGGGTGGGATGAGCTCGGGATAACGGTGCTCCTTTTGATCCTCGATTTCCAAGGACGGCGCACGCTTAATCTTTCCTCCCGACTGCCAGGCCGGATTCTCACGTAATTCTTTTTCTTCGCGCGGCTCAATTCTGACACTGCACAACATTCGGACAATATAACGTGGCTCGTTCATTTCTTTGACGATATTCTCGAGTTTACCCGTCACGTGGACGCGTAATATAGCTACATTTTCTCGGGGGATTTAGAACCGTTCCGGTTCTAATTTAAACGTCATATCTCAGCTCGAATTGTTGTCAGGCTCTGACTTTGGGGGACGGTTTGCAATCCTCAAAATGGAGTCACCGAAAAATCGTATTCCCAGTGTCCGTCTGTACAAATGAAAGAACCATCCATCGATCCGAATAATTTCGTTCACTGATCGGGATTTTGGCCACCGGAGGGTGCTTCCGCCACCGAACTTCCCGAATTACGAAAGTTAGAAATTCGAGGTGATCAATGTTTTCGCGTAACAGAATTCTGCGACTGTTCCACGAGTCTGCGAAGCTTCCTCCAAGAGATCTGCAACCCCTTCCGAAAAATTCTGTCCATCGACGAGGCGTCGCGACACGCGCAGAGTTCGACGCGGGCTTGTATTTTTCAAATAATTCGTTCTCAACGGGGTTCGATTATGCGGATTCGATCGACGGGGGTTTGGACTGGTACCAAAAGGCGACTGTTTTCCGTACGATCGGTTGAAACGAGAGAGTTATAAAGCGGCGAAGAACTTGCACGCGCGCGCGCGCGTCAAGTGGGGTAAAAATTGAGCGAAACGGCCGGAGATTTTCAACAGAAGCAGCATTCATTATTTCCAGGAATCGAGAGCTGACCGCTGTCTCTCTCTCTCTCTCTCTCGCTGCTCTCTTCTGGCCGTTGTCGAGAGAGAATTCGATACCCAATAACATGACCAATCCCGAGGCCCCGAGAGAGGAGCCTGGCCAGCGAAGACGACGGGGAAAGAGGCAGAAGAATTTCAGGGTGAAAAAAAAACGACGAGGAGGAGGAAGAGGAGGATGAGGAGGCGGAGAAGAAAGAGGTAGCGAGATGGGAAAGAGAGCAGACCACGGCCAGAATGTTAAGAAGCCGCTCTAAATTGTGCGTCATAAAAGGGCCCGGCGAAGGATCCGCTATCTGGGAAACACGTTCTTGCGTACATCTCGGATCGTTTGAAATTATGATGGATACTGCCGCGTCCGTCAACCCGATCCCCCCCGATTCGCAGGGTTATTTAAACTGCCGCCCGATTTTTCGATACGTTCTCCCCTCCCTGTACAGCATTGCCCAAGAGAATACTTCTTTAAAATCTTTACACTATTTTTTTCAACTCTTTGCACTGTGATGTCGCCGATACGGCCACCACACAGTGCATTCGCATCAAAGCGGCACCATTTTATGGTGTTCTAACATTTTATGGTGTCCTATTCTGTCTTATTCGCCAACTAAATAGTTTCTGACAAAATCGACTCAAATTTTCCACGCGTTTCGTAAAAAGATCTGACAAATAAAATTACAAAAGATTCGTGTCGCACGCAATCCTATTTCGGCGAACAAGCTCTGCTGTACGAGGGTCAACGAAGACCCTGCCGCGATGTTCCACAGCCCGGAAGCACACAAGCTCCGCGATTTATTCCGCGAACTTGTTTCTTCAGCAGCGTTCAAACAGCCCCGGTAATTAACCGTCAACAAGTGGTTGATCCGCCGATACCTCGGCAACAATAAGAATGCTTAGGCGTGAACAGAGGGCGAACGATTCTTGCTAATGGAGATCGCGGTGTTCGCTGACCCAGGAATCATTCGGGCCGGTGTTCATTATCGGCGAATATTAGGGAGTCCCCTCGCACAGCTCCGACGAAACGAGGAAATACGGCGCGGATTTACGATGCGATCCGATATAGCCGGATTAACGTAATGCCGGGGATTCCGCGTCCGGATTGTGCACAGGTTGCTTATTTTATCCTGCACTCGGAAATATCCTCGTTATTCTCGCCGATACAAAGAAACGTGGTTCCGCGCAGCTTCGTTCGCGCTCAGACTGTGCACAAAAATGAACAATTTGGGAAGAGGGGATACGATTTTTATAGTCACTGATTTTCGACAACTATGAAAACGAGTCGCGAGGCTCGATCAATCGTGTCTTCTCTTCCCAAATTGTCCATTTTCGTGAGCAAATCTCAGCGCGAATTAGAGAGAATTTACTGTACTTGTAATTTTATTCAAGGTATTGCTGCACCCCTATATTTTACCCCTATATTGACCGAGAGAGAAAGAGAACAGAGAAAAAAGAATTACAATATTCTCAGCTCTGAATTAAGCGAACTCGTCCTCGCAGATTTTCTTACATCAGCAAAAATAATAACGTAAAGATCTCGATGCGCAGGATAAAATAAGCACCCTATATAGGCGCGATATACGCGCGACATGTAAATAGTGGATGGCGGGCTCTGCACGGCGAAAGGGAAAATATGAGACGACGGGGGATCGAAGAAAGCGGGAAAAGTCCGACGTGATCGGGAAATGCAATTTTTCAAGTCAAGTGCTTTTCCCAGCTTTCCCGGCGAACGTGCCCCGACTCCGCCTGAATGCGCCACCGTCTGCGTGCGCCCCTCCGCGCCCCTAACCGAGAGTGATATATACACCGCGAGACCGGCGAAAAGTATAGTTTTCATGCGCGAGAAGACCGCAACCGTCAACGGGACGAGCGTCGCCGATATTGTTCCCCGGGAACGAATTGTCTCCTCCACGGCCCGGCCCATTCCGTGCAGCCACGTAGACGGCGAACGTGCATTTAAACAAGCGAATTCCACGCCTCCGGTTTCCGTTTTCACCCGGCAGCCACCGCCGCTTCTCGCCAATTGATTTTCTACAGGCCGATCAAACGTTCGCCTAACTTCCGCCGACGTTCCCGGCAGCTCTTCTTCTCGGCCCCGATATTTTTTTAGCAACGCGCCGTGGACTCGCGGCATTTTGTACGGGCGTGCGCCGGAAATGAGAGGTTCCTGAGACGATTCGAAGCAACTTTTTCCTTTACAAAAATGTTCTCCGAGGCACCGTTAACGAATTATTAACGAAAAACGTTGACCAATAAGAGGCGAGAGTTCGCTTGGCGCTAAGCGGCCGAGCCAATAAGCGGCACCGGGCTTCGTGCGCTCGTCGGCTTAAAAAGTTGCTAAGAATCACCTCGGGAATCTCTAATTTCCCGGAAGTACCATAATTTTGGGATACCCTGTATAACACTGTTACCGATTGCCAACGACTATAAAAATTAGGGAGAATTTACTATGCCTATCACCTAATTACATAGACGTAGGACTAGCACAAGGAGATTCACAGCAATTTGGCATTTCAATTTGGCATTTCAATTTGGAATATTCAAACCGAACGTCAGACCGGTCCCAGGATTTTCGGTTGGCCCTGCAGCCAGATTCGACTGTTTAGATCAATAGATAGCTGTGTTTACAGGAGAGATAAGCTCCGAGATACTGTCTCTATTGTGGTAGGATCGCGTTGCTTGTATTCTCAGATCGGTCCCTGTTTATCCTGCGGAATGATTAAACAGACGGTGGTTACACGTTTTAAGAAATCTCTGTTCAGAGTTTGCTATTTTAGGATAATGTTTTCGCTGGTTATCGAACTAGCTCTGCTATGAAATACGATATCAACCGGTGCGATATCAATCTCAGAGTTTGTTTTACAGGATGATTAAACGATCGCGAAAATCTATGATTTGTAATTTTCTTAAACAACGAGACCGTATACATACATGTAACAATATCCAGCAATGTATTTGCTGGATAAACCATCTGGTTTATTCGTATAAAAATGTCTGGCAAAAACATTTTCACATTGTAAAGGAAACGATCAGAAAGCAGCCATTTTAACTGATTCTTCTAGTTCTAGCATCAAAGACGGGAACACACAAATATCTACCCCAACAAGACTTTTATCTCGCACAAAGGATCTAAACGCGTTGGTCATTTTCGTACGCGGCGCCTCCATCGATTATCAACCCCCGCCTTCCCATCCCTCGGTACCGCCCCGAAGAAGCGTTCCGGAAAGCGTTCTCCAAAGAAAGAAAAAAGAAAAACAAATCTTCGAAAAGAGAAGCATGAAGAAACGCCCGGTTGGCTACCAAACACAGCTCCACCAAACGCGAGGAGCAGGTCGATGAACCGCGGGAGCCAGGCACCCCCGCGATTTCACGGGGGCGCGATTCTCGGGGCTCGCTCGTCGTGTTCGGATCAAACGAGAGAGGTTCGCGCGGTGTGTGCGCGGCCGAAAAGCTCGCCCCTGAAATTTGCCGAAGAAATTACAAATCAGTCGCTCGGACTCGGTTCTGGTGTCGAGCAATTACGAGTGCACCGAGACGGACAAGGTTACTGCCCCGCGAACAAGTTACCCCGAGTGATCTCCCGCGCGCTGGCAACGGGAAGGGGATGTTTCCACCCTCGCTCTCTCTCTCCTTTCTCTCTCTCTATCTCACTTCGTTCCTCTCCGACATGGTCGAAGGCGAAGAAGAAGGCGAAGCAGAAGAGGGGTGGAGGCAGGGGGGAAGGCGTCGGGATCAATACGGCTCAACAGGTTATACTTGAAGCTAACTACATCGCCCCCGCGCGCCGAGTCCTGTACCGTTGGAAGTTGAGACGACGAAAATCTACGGGGATGCTGGCGCGGCGGTGCGCGCGGGAGAGCCACGGGGGTGTGGGTGTTGCCCTGGCAACCCTTCGTTCTCTCATCGACCACCGTCACGGGCCGCGCCCGTCTGAGACCACCGCCACCACCACCACCGCCGGTATCCTCATTGCCGTAACCCCGCGCGCAACCCTCTCTCTCTCTCTCTCTCTCTCTCTCTCTCTCTCGCTGTTTCTCTCTTTCTCTCGCGCTGTCTCTCTCGCCCCCGCGAACGCGCCGCCGACGTCACCGACGCCACCCCCTGATCACGTGTACCGGTGCCCTTAAGCCCCGTTCACACGGACCGGCTTAATTCGATTTCGCGTCTCCGGCTTCCGGGCCAGACGCTATTGCCATCCGACACGTTGTTTACCGTGCAGCTAAGCGCGCGCCCGGATACCGTTTCTCTCCACCCAGAAACTCGGGATCCCCAGAAACTTGTCCGGACCGAATTCTCGGCAGAAACCACTTGACGCTGCTTCCCGGGGCTCGATTAGCTCCGATGCCTTTCCCGAGAAGAAATCTTGTTTGCCCTCTGTGTGCCCGATTATTTTGATTTCAACGGGACCGGGATAACTATGACCGACGAGCGAGTTCCGGGGTCGGGTTGCAGGGTAGAACTGCTACACCGATTCTCTCTGACCAACTGCCGAGATATTTCACGTATTCGCGGCAGGATCGTGCGAGTCAAAATTGCAAGGAGAAGGAAACATGATAATAAGTCAACGATAATAAGTGGGAATAATAGCGAGTGAAACATGGTGGTAAGTAACAGATAATAACTGAATCCTTTGTTTTGTCAGTAGTGGACCGTAGTTGGCAGCGAACCTTAAAGGGTGTTAGAGGGTTGAACTGTGTATCGTTATTTTTATATAATACCGTTAAATAGTACATTTAGATACCTATTAACGCAAAAATCAACTATAGAAAGTTCGTAAAGGAACGTTGTTGGAGAAAGCTAATAGTTGTTCTAAAATCATTTGTACGTTTCTCGACCCTCCCTTAAGCGTACGCCGGGGTTACAATTTATTCTTAAATCGGATCTCTCGCAAAGTGAACGTCGCTTAACAGAATCTGTACTTCGGGCTTCGCTAATTCCGCCTTCAGCGATCTTTCTGGTTGGCTTTTGCAGACCAATGGAATTACTTGCAGTTACTTTAACCCTTCGCCGAGCGGCGTATTATATTTCTCGCTTGGATTTAGAGCTGTCTGGAATAGACGAGGGCATCATTTCGCGTTCCCACGGAACGTCTGTAGCATTGTAAATCAGGCTTAAGCGTAGTTCAGAATCAAACGAGATGCATCCAATGATATATGCAGTCCGAATATATTATATATATATATATATATTTATTCGGATTGGGAACTACAAGCGAATTCGAGACGGCAGTGAACGATTTAAGTTCGTCAAGTTGACCGACCATCCTCCATCCCGTCTATTTCCATCGATTCGAAAGTTTCGAACGGTATTGAGATTCATGGGCTGATTTAAATCGAAGTGCACGCTTTGGTTTCTATGCATACGCGATAAGCTTCCGCCGCGCCGCGAGAAACCGAATTTGTCGAGCAGCCATTTTCTCTTCGAATAGAAACTGTCTTCGATAATCAACACCGGGAAATAATTCGAAAGTGCATCGGAGTCGTGTGTCGCGCTTTATTCCCGGACGGTTTTTATGAAAATCGAGTTCGAAAGTATTTCGCAGGTAACGCGTGTTATTAACAAGCTCAATAAAATAGCTGAAATAAAACAAGAAAATAAAATAAAATAAGATACGATAAAACAAGGTAAAATAAAATAGAATAGAGTAAAATTCAAAAAATGTAACTCGATTAGAATACAATAATTTATACAACAAATCTGAAATGATGCTGTTACTAAATTATGAATACCGCTCGTAACACAACCAACGACTATATAACGGCGTTGTTTCATTTCCAAATACTTTTGTTTCGACTAAAAAGCGAGTAAAAGGATTTTGGCTAATTTTCCGAGCACAAATGCTCCGGGTGTGCGCGTCGGTCGAAGCATAAAAGACCGAGCCTCGTTCATTTTGACTGGCTGCAGAGAAGGTTTCGGAATTAAGGTGTCGCCGGCCGGAAGCCGGTTAGGGAGTGATGGAAGTGTATGTTGACTCTGGATGGGTGTGGAGGGTGGCATCGAGGAAATGGTAAATGATGTGGTTAGCGGGACATTCTTGTATTTCCGTTGGCTGATCGGGGAACGTTGCAGTTCTCTTTGTTCGTGGTTTCGAGCGCAGGCCGTGACCTCTTGCAAAAAAATACAAGATCCGACTTATTGTGCAGTTCTGTCAGAACTTCGAGAGCATTCGTGTGCGCGTTCTCTTTTATATTTCACTTGATAACTTTCTGACGGCAACATTCTATTATTTCGCGTTCCAGATCTTGGAGTATGCTAGATTAAAACGGACACGACTTTACTTTTGTACAAAATCTTGACGCATCTTGCACGACGAGAAACGGCGTGTCGCCGCAGAACACGCGCGATAATCTCTGGAAACGTGAGAAGTATTGGAACAAAAGCGGCGGTGTTGAGTAGCCGTGATCCCCAAATGGGGACAACGATAATTCAAGTTAGCTGTAACAATACGCTGCACATGTGTGGAACACATTTTGACCGAATCACAGGAACCCTCCTCCGCACGTGTGGCCGAACTCGATTTCCATCGAGTAGAAATGCTAGTTTGACAGTGCAAGCGGAAGCCTTTGCTTCTAATGTTAGGCTACAATTTTCATGCATTATTTTATAGTAAATTTGAGTGGAACTTAGAATAGTAGGAATTTAACAAAAAATTAACAACCTCAATTTATTGTTTTTAATCTACTGAAACGATTGCAGAGAGCAAGTATTCCTCTGTTTTGTAATCTAAGCAAACAATTCTTATCTGCTAAATAAACCATCTGGTTCAAAGCATTAATAAATGAGTAAACAAACATACACAGTCCGATCAACTCATATGGATCCGATATTATTAATAGTTAATATAATAAAATTAAATATAGTTCAAATATAATTAATATAATAATTGAATGATTAATGATGACAATATTGATTTCGCACGAATTTCTGCAACTCGTGCGTCGAAGTATAAATTCGCATAATCGGTCGCCGATCATTAATCATTGAAAAAAATGAAGAGAACTACGACACTTACCACACCCCCGCCGGCGCTGTGAAGCAGAAGACTCTTGCCAGGTGCCAGGTTGGCAAGCTTGAACAGCAGGATGTAAGCCACGGTGTAGTTCATGGTGATCGCTGATGCATCGAGGTAGCTCAGGCCTGGTGGCAACGCGAAAACGGACGTAGCCGGTACTGCAACGAGCTCCGCCCACGCTTTGTGATCAGGAAATGCGACTACTCGATCGCCCACCTAAAACCAAACAGCCAAATGTGTCTCGCACCATTAATTATTCGGGATTCCTCCACAGAGATAACACCCCGCGTTCTCTGCGGAGTACAATAAATACTTATACTCTAAACTATTCGATTGTTGAAACAATCGATAAATCGCGAACGTCAACCTAGTGGATTTATTAAATACAGAATTAATTTTCTACTTGATCCCCGTAAGTTTCATCTCGTAGAAAAATCCCCGATCTAGCTATGATTTTAAATAGCAACACGCCAACTTGTTTGACTGCATTTTATAATAATTTAAGAACAATTTAATTTGATTCAATTTCATTCCATTCAATTTAATTTAATTCGAGTCAATTTATTTTAATTCAATTTTAATTCATTTCAATTCAATTTAAGAGTAATTTATTATTCGATTAATATTTGATGAACAAAAGAGTTCTCGTTTCCTCGCAATTTTTTTATCCATTATCAAAGCACGTTGTCCTCGTACTCTAATCTTCCTAAAACTATAGTCAACAATCGAAGGGGCTCGCTTCTTCAAAGAACGACGTTTCCCACGAACAAATTCTACTGACTCATCCCGTTTGCACAGAAACGCTCCTCCTTAACAGCCTGTACACTCCCAGATATTATCCCCCGATAGGCAAAACTCACTCGGACGTCACGTCTAGGAGCATATGAAAAGAGGGACGAACGCGACGTGAGCCTCGAGCCAGTTTCCCGCATCTCGAATAGCACAAGGAAACCACCCCCGAGTTTCCTCGGCCGCCGGTTCCCCGTTTAACCCGGCCTTGAATTTTTCACCCACTAATCTTTCCACGAGGGTGGAGTCCCACGGTACTTTTCCAAGCACCGTGACGTTTCTGCGGAAGCGAACTGCCTCGGGCTGGTCCATTTTCGAGATCTCCGAAGGTCGCGAGGGGATGCTGGAACGTTTCAAGGGGTAGTCGAACGCACGTGGAAAAAAATACACCGTGTGCTTCTTCTTCTTCTTCTCTTTTTTCTCTTTGACGAGCGAGTACCATGGAATTCCTGAAGACCACGTATTTATTTCCCTTTCCAACCCTGATATACTACCCCTAGACAGTGTAAAATCATCTCAACACTGATCGATATAAAAATCAACTCGATCCTGGTTGTAGTGATATCATTTCTATCCTTGTTGGAATAAAATCATATGACTACCCTGGCGAATAAAAATGAGCCAGAGGGTTAATTTCACCCTGCGAGTAGATATCGTAAGCGCAGTGATTACGGCCGACGGGGAAGTTCCCCAAGAATCGGTATTTTCGGGGCCGAGTGTGTTTCCATGTAGACATTGGTGACGTCAGATCACATTTCCGGATATCCGAAGTGTGACAACCCCTTAAGGGTCCGATATCCCGAGCAGCACGTGTAAACGACCGACAATTGGGGGTTGCCGCGCGCCCGATGGAACCTCTCGCCTCGCCTCGCCTCGCCTCGCCACGTCACGCCACGTCGGGATGGAATATTCGAGTTCCCTCTGGACAAAAAGCACCCCCGCGTGGCGCATCCCCTCGCCTAGAAAGGGTGTCTGGAGTTCTTAGCATTGTTGCGCTGAAACGGCCGTTCAATTCTCTGCAGCTCGTCCGTTTATTTCTTCTTTTATGGGATTATCTTCTTTCTGCCGGCGAGGGTGGCTCTCTAGGATCCGCGGGCTGGCACTCTTAAGGGATGAAGGAAGCATTGACGGATCCAGGAGAATTTGCCGGTCTCTTAGACCGTCGCCATTCTTCCGTCCGCGCGCGACCCACCCTCTATCTTCCGGGTACAGGGGGGTGTGTACTTCTGTTTTTATTAATGTCTCGGGAAGAGGAAAGGGATGCAAAAACTACCCTGTTTCCTTTCATCTCGTTCTCCGACGAGATTAACAGCCCTATTTATACAGGCTATCGCGGCCGATCCCAAGGTCGAAGGGGGGCGAAAGTATTGTTCAACCCCTTGACGTAATAAAACGGTATAATAGCGTTTAATATTACTGGTTTGCTATTTTATCTGTTGGACAAGATTTTCACTGGAAAATAGACTTGTTGCAATGCTAGAAAAATTACTATTATAAATAGCCAGCGGATGTTATGAATTTATAATAAAAATGACTGGACGAAGGAGTATTCATTATAAAATGAAAAATATAGAAGTAAAATATAAATACGAATTAAGTAAAATATAAACGAGAATTATAGACAAAATTCATTATAAGAGGAGAACGTATCGAATCATATCGAACACGTTTAACTAGAACACGTCAAGGGGTTAAATTCTGTATCACTTAAAAAGAGGTCGTTCCTATTATTCCAAGATTTTTTGCTCCAACGAATCACCTCAATCTGATTTGCATAATTTCAAGGGTAGTTTCCTACTCCGCTACAATATTGTCCCATGCTTCCAGGACAATTATCTCCTCCCCGTTAAGGACAACGACCCTGATTCGCGGCGCAGCTATAGCTATCGTGCTATCAAAAATTGCGAAAATAAACTGTCCAGCCGTGCAATGAAAATTACTTGCGAATATGTGCATTGGGACGTCGGAGAGTGTATCCCGCGGCGATTATCGTAGATCAATATTGAAAGTTTTCCAAGGAAGTTATATCGCGGGGTCCACTCGTAACACGGAAAACGAAGAGCGGCCAGACGAGCCCGTTTGACATGATAATGGATGCAAATCGCGGCGTAGCGGTGGAGAGAGTTCTCTTTCCTTCTGGAACGTTGTCTCTTCCTCGTCGATAGTTATTGCTCCGAGTCAGCCCCATTCCCATCGATTTTGTCCGCGGTCTCGTCGCCTAACGTTCTCTACCCGCGCAGGAAACGCTTGCGCGTTGTTGCGTGCGGAAAAATTTGCAACACTTACTCTGCCGACTGGTACATATATTCCGACTCCGTATATTATATGCACGGACGGCTCTTTCGAAAGCCGGTGTCGAGTTCGTGCAAAATTCCGACAACGATTTCGCGAATTAGTTGTAAAAAGAATAATTCCCGCTAATAATAATGCAAAGCTCTGTTTTTATTATAAGATAATAAACGAACTTAGCCGAAAGAGAGATAAGAGACGAAATAATTTAATTGGATCAAGATTATTTAAATGAAAAATAATTCCCTCCGAGCAATTATTATCGCATAACTTGCGATGAAATAAAATGGATAAAATGAAATATAAAAAAATAAAATAATATAATATAAAATAAGAAAATAAAATAATATAAAATAAAATAAGGAAATAAAATAATATAAAATAAAATAAGGAAATAAAATAATATAAAATAAATCAAGGAAATAGAATAAAATAGAATAAAATAGAATAAAAAAGAAATAAATTAAACTCAGTTAAAAATCAACTACCACGATTATCTTCTCGGCTAAACAATTTTTACTATCGCTCCCTTTCTGATGACCATACGGATACCCGTAGTCATACATCATTTCCTATAGGGGAGGAAAGAATTCTAGTTATTTCTTTTTTTAGTTTACGCTGCCGCCACAGGAAACACGTCGTTCAAGCACCAGCCGGTGACGTCAAGCAAAAAAAATTCAGCCGCTTCGCTATATTTAATACTTAAAAGAATCTATCCATCCAGTGTTGTCTGTACACGGTGCTCCATTTAAATCGGTCCCCACGGCTATGAATCATCCAAGATATGAATCATTGCGTGTTCGTCTGCGATCAAACCACTTGGGATCGAATTCCTCATCTAGACGCCGCCTTCTATCTTTTGTGGCAAGATTTTTCGGCGCGATCGACGGTCGCGTAAGATCGAACTGATTTTAAAGGAGACACCCGGTGTGTGCAACGGTGGCCTCTCTCGAGTCAGCCGCGAAGAATTCATAGTGACCGTCAAAGGGTCCCGAGAATTGTAAGCTGGCACTAAGCAGCTTCTGTTATCAACGTTCTTTGAGGAAGCGGTAACCAGCGTTTTTAATTACGACCCCTTATCGTCCGCTCGAAGAAGGGCTCGCGAAGCTAGATCAAGCCCAAGATCTCGGTAAATTTAATGATCGAACTAGGATCTCATTATTGGCCGTCTGGAAAAATCGTAGAGCCTGTAGAAAAATCGTAGGGCTTGTAGAAAAATCGTGGGACTTGTAGAAAAATCGTAGGAGCTGTAGAAAAATCGTGGGGCTTGTAGAAAAATCGTAGGGCTTGTAGAAAAATCGTAGGGCTTGTAGAAAAATCGCGAGATTTGTAGAAAAATCGCGAGACTTGTAGAAAAATCGCGAGACTTGTAGAAAAATCATAGGACCTGTAGAAAAATCGTAGGACCCGTATCTTCGATTTATTTTTACTAGAACGGCGAACTTGCGTCTCTGCGAGCGTCGCATAAAAAATCGTGTTAACCGGCGTAGATCTGTCCGCGAAAATAATTATCTGGAATATCTAGCGCTCGAAAATGGCAGCAGCGTGCTTGAAGCGTCGCTCTTCCGGCCAGATTCGCGCGGCTCGCTGAAATGATCTACTTAAAACTTTCCGGGTAAGGTTAAATGGAAAAGTTTGGCGGGCGTCGAGCGGAAGTAATCTATCGATGGCGACTGTTAAGAGTGTCGCGTGTTTCGTAGAGAAGAAGGAAGAAGAGAGGTCTCGAGAAGTAATCTGTTAATAAGCGGGCCGAAGACCGCGAAGAAATTCCGTCCGCGGAACGACAGCAAGGGGTTGTTTCGCTTACCTTAAAGTTCTCCACGCCCTCGCCAAGCTGCTCGATGTCACCTGCGCACTCGGATCCCATAATAAAAGGAGTTTTCGGCGGGGAATCGATAGCGCCCTGTCTGGCCATCAGATCTTGGAAGCTCAATCCGCTGGAAAAAGACAAGGCACGTGCGTGTAAAGTACCAATGCAATCGATACCGAGCGTATTATGCCGAAAAGGGGGCCCCGCCCCACCGCTACGAATTTTCCTACAATTTTACGTTCTATAACGCGCTTTATCTCCGCGGCTCTAATAGTTCGCGAGATATTCATCGAAACGAATGGTCTTACCCTAAGTTCGAGGGTTGTTTTTCACCCCGGGGACAGGAATATTGTAGTGGCCTGGTGAGTCGCGCTGAATATATTTTCTCGAGCCTATATAAACACTATTTTATCGGCGATGGACAGTTTAATACCTTCGCCAACGGCAGACATTTCTGACAATTTTGTGGCTCGGATTATAGTTTTATGCTGGTTCGAATCCTTCTTTTTATCGATTTGATAAAAATGAGAAATACGATTTTAATGGAGAGAGGAACTGCTTAGATGCAGCTTATGGTAATACCCCTATTTGCAGCGAACGTTTATTGAATAATATGAAATAATACAAGTATAATGCAGGCGTGATAATTTATATTTATTGTGTATATATATTTAATTAGAACATCTTGAAAATCACGCAACAATAACTTTAAGCTCTTCCGAAGGAAATCCGAAAAATAAATTTAAATAAAGGAACGATAAAAAGGAATCCGGTGGAACCTAATTTCCCGACGAAATCCTCCCCCGTTCAACGAATATCTCTCCGTCGTATTTACGTTAAAATTAATCGCGTTCGCCGATACCATTCAAAATCATCCGGAAAGGATACAATCTGTATCAAAAATAGCCCGCTGGAAGATCGACGCGCGTCGGCGTGCCGCGGTCGAATAGCGCAAAAATACATGAACTGGAAACACCGCGATACAAAACAACCCTAGGCGCGCGTCGCGTACAGCGAAACGTTGAACGCGATCGATAAACGGCGTCAGGCCACGTAACAATGGATTATTATTTTTTAATGCGTTGCGACAAACGAGTAAATTATCGGCGAGCCGTGCGCCGCAGAATAATTACGCGCACGACAGTCTCGCTTATCGTATGAATAAAGAACTGGCGCGCCGCCGCCGACGCTGCCGACCGGCCATGTGAATGGGCCTTATCGATGCCTCCTTTTTCCGCACGCACCGTGTGTACATCGGCAGATACCTTGGAAACTGGTTTTTAATATGGTCGATGCTGCCACCGTCGCCGCTTGTCCACCCTGTTCCCCGAACAACCGATCGTTTGGAAAACGGTAACGCGATCGCGCGCGCGCGCGCGCTCGACCATTTCTCGCTCGGTCATCGGTATGCGAATCGACGGACAACGATTTATCAAACAGAGAATCGTCCGACCCTCGGGGGTATTCGTATTCGTTACGGGGTCTCGTTCGTTAAAATCGTTTCGGGTTCTGCTGAACGGCCGCTGGACGGATTGCCCTCGACGATTTTCAGCCCGGTGCCGTATAAACGACGTGAACTTTGACCGATAAGCGATTAATTGTATTCTAGAGAAATTAAGGGACTTTTAGAGAAATTAAGGAGCTTCTAGAAAAATTAAGGAGCTTCTAGAAAAATTAAGGAGCTTCTAGAAAAATTAAGGAGCTTCTAGAAAAATTAAGGAGCTTCTAGAAAAATT